GATTTACTTCAGTTTAAGAACTTTTTGCTTTTAATTCCTATAACAAATTCTGAAGATAAATTGCTTTGGGATAAAGGTAGCTTCTCTTTTAAAAAAGCTTGGCAGATTAGTAGACAACATGTTGAGGAAATCAGTTGGCATAAGTTTTGCTGGAATAGAGCAAGACCTCGATGGTCTGTTACTTCAGTTTTTGTTTTACTGGATAGAGTTCCTTCTATGGTTAATTTGCAAAGAAGGAAGATTACTTTGGTGCCTAGATGTTCTCTCTGTCATAGCGAGCTTGATACTACTGAACATCTCTTTATCAAATGCAGGTTTTCAAAGAGTTTTTGGACTTGGTTGGGTGATATACTGCATTGGAATATGCAGTTTTTTACTGATGTGGAAACCTTAGAAGATCTGTTCTCCTGGTACAAGATGTTATCACATGCTGTTTTTCATAGAACTTTGTTCGCAGCTGCATTGTGGGGTATTTGGCATGAAAGGAATGCTAGATTATATGGATCTGTGACCAATTCTGAGGTTGTTGCTAGGAATTTGTTGCTGGAGGTGCAGGATATTCACAAAATTTCATTGCCTGATTTTGTTGGATAGTTTTATGGATGTTTGTTTTTTTTTTAGGTTGTTTGTGGTGAATTGTTCCCCATTTTTAACATTTTCTCTTTTTCTGTTTTCTTGATAAAGATTCATTCTTTCTTAAGTTTTGATTGTTATTCTGGGGGTATGCCCTCTGTGCACCTTTAAATATTTTTTCTTTTCTTTTATACACTCATATTTATGAAAAAAAAAAAAAATTACCATGCATATTAAGTAATTCAACTACACAGCTCAATATTATAATCTCAAATAAAAATAAACACTTCTATAAATAATATTGAACTCACATAAATAATATAGTTTAATATTATATCACATGATTAATTATATCACATAATTAATCTAAGAAATAATAATATTCAGGAGAAGATTTTGCTTCCTTAAAACTTTGTGGATCAAAAGATTTAGACGTTCTAGCCCTCTTGCTACGTCTAAGCTCATCATTATTTTCATTGTATGATTTATGCACAAGAAAATGATATGCACTACTGTTATAAGCATAACTTATCAAAGGTTTACGATCCACTCCATCATATGGTATGATATTGTCCGTTTTGGGCCCGATCCTGCACGGTTTTGTTCTTGGGTTTTATCCCAGAAGACCTCATACCAATTGAAGATAACACTGCCACATAAAATCACTTCACATTTCCCTTACCTAAGCGATGTGGGACTGTGCACTTGTAGCTCGCCTAGTGTGGTAGCCTGTTAGTATCTCTTGCACCCGCCCACAAGGTTGTCACATTTTAGGTGCCACTTTAACTTTTTTAGGAGTAAAAACTACAACCTTAGCTAGACACCCCCACACTCGTAAGAATTTATAGAAAGGTTTTCAACCTTTCCATAATTCATACGGTATCACATTTGTTTTCTTTTGAGGTATTTTATTAAGAATATAATTTACGGAAAGCAAAACTTCCCCCCACAAATTATGAGTTAAACCAAAACTTATCATCATTTTTTTGTGAATGATACCATATTTTGAACAAATATCAGCAAATGGTGTTTCGTATTCACGAACTCCATCATTTTTTAATAACTTGATCTTTTTGCCACGTTGATTCTCAACCTCATTTTTGTAATGTTTAAACATTTCTAAGGTTTCATCTTTGCTTCGTAGCAATTATACATAACAATATCTTTTGCAATCATTGATAAAAGTAACGAAGTACCTTATTCCACCTCTAGTTGGCACAAATTTAAGATAATATAATATACTACATAAAATCATATTACAAAATTAAAATAATTCAACCAATATTAAATTATATAAATAATTCAATAATCTACTTATATAACATGCTTCAATTTCACATAATATTGAACACATCAATATTTAACATATTATAATATAATAATGTATATAATATTATTTTATTATATCTCAATTATTAGTATAATCTCTACTTGCTTATATCTTAAACAGAAGCATATAATAAATTATACGCAAGGAATAAATTGTCTTAAGATTGTTGAAAAATATATGCTTTAAATGACATTTAAGATATAACTAACATTATACTAATATGACATGAGATAATTAATAATATGCTAAAAAATAATTAATGAAATATTCAACTCGATATTGAATTAAACATGCAAATTAAAGCAATAAAATAGTAATAATAAATAAAGAACCTGAACCGAGGCTAGTATTGGATACTATGTCCTTAAGACAATTTACGCCTTGCATGGTGCTAATGGACTCTATTGCGTTTGTCTCCCAGGATACAACGGTCTACATCTACCAGTAGCAGCACTACAAACTCGTGGATACGGCGAACCTTCTATGTGTAATACTCTCTCTGACTCAAAATGTATCTCTCCTACATAATGAATGAATTTGGTTCAATCCAAACCATTTGGCTCGGACCAATTGCAATATGGCCCATTACTATAGATATTTGGTCTAATTGTTTGAACCATTTGACCACACTTGGGTTGGGTTCATGTTGAGTGAGGGAGAGAGAATGCAAAAATGAACGAATTGAAAATAATAGCCTTTAGCAGCCTCATCCACAACCGAAGACTTGATCCGGATAGTGCCAATTGATACTCTAGAAGAACCCAGCTTGAAGCCTCAGTTAGAAGTAATGGTGATTCCCGAAATCCCAAGATAGCCTTGCTGGATGGATCCATTGTCCAAAGCTATGCTCTAGGGAGCCTCTTCAAAAAAATGGAGCATCCTCTACACTCTCTCTCTCTCTCACAATTTCCTTCTCCCCGAAGTAGAAGCAATTGCTTTAGAGTGTGGTCAACACTATTTCGAAACTTGTTTGATAACTAGATATGGTTCTTACGAGTTTTGCGTCATGCCTTTAGGATTGACTAACGCACCAGCAGTCTTCATAGATTTGATGAACAGAGTCTTCAGGGCTTACTTAGATCAGTTTATCATCGTATTTATTGATGATATTTTGATCTATTCTAAGTCAGAGGACGATAATCATGCTTCTTGATTTTCTTCTGGTTTTTCATCTTCTGGAGTTATATCCCAATCAAAGACCAAAGCTTTTCTTCCAAATCTTCCTCCATTGTTGAATGCCTCAGGCAACCTCCTTGCGTCCGCCCGCAGTGTATGCATTGGCTTGCGTCCACTCGCCGCCCTTGGTGTCCGGGTATTTATAGATAAAAAAGTGCCTTTTCGGATTGGGTGTGTCTCTTTATCATTGGACACAACCATTCATATGTGTGTCTTCATCACTGGACACAACCATTTATATGTGTCTCTTCATCACTGAACACAACCATTTATATGTGTCTCTTCATCACTGGACACACCCATTGCAATAGATTGCAATAGTTCACGTTGAATAGGTTATGTCTGTTGGTTTTGAGTTGCATCTTTTCATCCCACAACCAACCACTGATCACACCTGTTCAGTCAAAGGCATCTATTGATTACTCATGAAATAATTTTCATTCAAAAATTCTAACATTCACTCCTTCAGCACCCTCGATTAAAATGACCACACTAAATAATGGCTTTTACACTAATGATTCAGTTTTTTAGTAATTTATTAGATAAAGTTACAAATGAATGCTTATTATTATTATTATTATTATTATTATTGTAAACTTTATAACAGTCTAATCACCGACAGTGACTTTAAACTGTTACATTTCTCGGGATACAAGTTTGTTACTTTGATTTGCATCAACTAATATATATGACCTCTATACTAGAAATATGCTTTACCATTGCTAGACGACACAATGAAAATCAGTTATCCAAGCTTTTAAAGGCAACTATGACAGTCCCACATTGCCGCAAGTGGGGGGTCTAAGTTCTAACGGTGTAGACCTGTTCTAAAAATCCTCTAGAAGAGTCATGTCAGCGATCACACTGGGTCTCAACAAGGGAGTGATTGTGACGTTAGCATGATAAAGAGATTGGCTCTTTAAGTCAAAATTTTGAATATGCTCTATCTTATGCATATTACAAATAAACAATTTACCTACCCAAAGAAGCGAAAACTTCAATGAAGATGAAGTGCCCAAATTCAATCACACACCAAAGGAAAGAAATCAAAATGTTTAAAAAAAAAAAAAAAACAAACAAAAAACAATGAGTTAAAAGGGTGCATGGTTAAATTCACAACGCCTAAGAGTGAAGAGTATTTAATCCCCAGCAAAAGATAAGACAGGTAATAATCTGTAATTGGACCGGTGCTACTGCGTGGCCAAACGTGCCTGTCACAACAAACAACCAGTTTTAGCATGCGTAGCTCAAACCGGGACAAAAAAACAGGATAGGTTCTTTTCTTGACCCGACAGCTGTCTCAACAGTTCATGACCTGACATCTTGATACCTACCCCTCTCTCTACAGAGAGAAAATGAAGTTGTTTTGCCATATCACAAGGACTGCAGTGTTCTAATTTTACGGAAACGTCGGAAAGTATGTTTGCTTTCATACTTTTGGAAGTTTGAATCTCAATACGTACAGTCGCAAAAAATAAAAAATAAAAAATAAATGTACTAATGATTAATGAATAGAAATAAAAGTAGGAGTATTCATAATGAAGAATATAATATGGGCTCTTTTTGTTACGCTTTATTGGGACAAGGCAACCAAAACATTTGTCTATCTTTAAATCCAATTACAAATGATACATGTATGAAAAGAAATATGACACTAATTACTGACTTCATTATGATAGTATTAATTTATGTGGTTTATGCAAGTCTACCCAATCAAGAATGAAAACCCTGCAATTAAAATGATGGACCGAACCCATGAAATTAAACTGTGCGAATAAAAGCAAGTATAATAACATGAAAGATCAAATTCGAAAGTAACGCATAGCAATTCTATTGTACATAATGTTAGAGAGACAGAGTGGGGGGATTAAAAGATAAAATTAATAAAATAAAGAGAGAGAATGGGAATAATAAAAGGTACCGTGAATGAGAGAGAAGAGGCTGCCGTTGGGGAAGTAATCGTAAACAAGGAGGCGTTCCTCTTTAGCCTGGAAGTAGGCCCTGAGTGGGACGACGTTAGGGTGGGTGAGAGTCCCCAGCAGCTCCATCTGCCTCCCGAACTCATCCAGCTGCCTGGGGTACCTGGCGTCCTTGAGCCTCTTCACCGTCACTATGAACCCAGACTCCATCACTGCCTTGTACGTGCTCCCCATTGTCCCTCTCCCCAGCGTCTCCGCTGACGCCTTCAACAGATCCTCCAAGCTGTAACTCATCTGCTGATTCCCTGCTCCAAGGAACACCAAGCTCCCCAAACCCCCACCTTCACCACCACCACCACCACCTTCCCATGAAAACCCATCTGATGCTCCTCCTCCTCTTTGTTTATTTCTCCCATGTCCATTCCCATTATTATTACTCTGATCGCCTCCGGATCCTCCTCCTTCAACACCAATGTCCCTCCCTTCTTTGTTCACATCTCTCACATCACCTGTTTTACTACTACTTTTATTCTGTCTATATCTCTTCCGGAATAAGATCAATACCATCAACACTACTAACAATAATAATACAAATCCACCAATGCTTCCTGCGATTATCGCTATCAGCTTCCACCGCTTCCTCCTGTGCTTCTGCATTTCCCTGGTGGTGGGCACAGGCGGATAGGCAGTAGGACTAATGGAATTAGGAGTTAATAGTCCATTACACGAATTTTGAATTTGTTCACCGCACAAATCCATATTACCAGAAAATGACGATGCATTAAATCGAACCAATGCCGGAGTAAGAGGAATCTCGCCCCATAGTTGGTTGTGTGATAGGTTCAAGAATCTGAGGCTTGTTTGGTTCAAGGGTGGGATTTCACCAGTGAAACGATTGTCTTGCAGATAGAGGACATAGAGCCGCCGGAGCTTCAGTAGTGAATCCGGAATGATGCCGGAGATCTGGTTTCCGGACAAAACCACAACTTTGAGGCGGTGGAGAAGCGAAATGGAGGTCGGGAAGTCACCAGAGAAGTTGTTGTTGTTGAGGAAGAGAGATTTGAGGTTGACAAGGCCGGAGAGGTTGGGGATCTGGCCGGAGATGGAGTTCTCTTTGAAGCTGAGAACGCGTAGCTGATCCAACTGGTTTAGACTCCTCTCGTCCAGTGTCCCGTTCAAGTTTAAATTCTCCAGAACAAGCTTGGTGACCCTTCCGTTCATGCATTCTCTGATCCCTTGCCATTGGCACACGCTTCCTTGCCACTGAAGCGACTTGGAGGGATCAATGGATGATTTTAGGGCTAAAAGTGCCTCGGCGTCGTTAGATCTCACCCAAGGAAGAAGAGAGAATACCAAAAATGTGAAGAAGAACAGAGGAGAGTACCTTGAAAGCAGAGGAAGTAATAATTCCATCAATTGATCGATGATACTAGCTAGCTAGCTAGCTAGCAGAGAGGATGACATATACCTTCTTCATCACTCACTTGTCTTAATTAATTCAGTGAATTTTTTAATACTGAAACTTGAGATTTGGTTGCCATCCATATTCAGCTAGCGTCGACATGAGTAGAGTAGAGAGAGCTTCCGAGACAAGTTATATATATATATATATATATATATATATAGCTAGAGAGAGAATCAATTAATCATACAGCTCAAACATTTCCAAATCTAAAAGATCCATCCAAGTAATCTTTTCCTTTCTGTCTTTCTTTTATTTTACCCGAGCACATTCATATTGCTTTCTAAACCCGGCCAGCCTCCAAATCTGCAGACTTGTTGGATGGTATAAAGCCAGCCAACCCTTTGAATCACGTACAGCAGCCCAATTAGCTAGCTACCTAGCGTCATCGTCAGCGCTTAACTTTGATTATTTGGCTAGATCAATACAACTATACAAGCAAAATGAACCTAGAGCTAGATACAATAATTAATGGAAATCAACAACTCTGTGCTTTTCACAGAGAGAATTGAAACAATACGATTAGTTGCAAAAACAAACACAAAGACACATAGTCCATCAGCATGAAGCTCCTCTAGTTGATGATGATCAAACGGATCAGAATAGAGACTCATTGAGCATGTCCGTACCTACCGTTTCTCGAACTCTGCTCGCAATAAAACTCACGGACATACAGCTTACCCATCACGTGAACTCAGCTCAGAGTTTGCGGCACACCGAAAAATTCCTTTTTACTTTAATTTCCCTCCCTTCTCTCTCTTACTATTTTCTGTATAATGAGATAAAAAACTGTTGAAACTTTAAAATTTTAAGAAATCCTCTCTCTATATATATATATTTATATATCTTGGGCTGCTCAAAGTTTTTAGCAGTTTTCAAAGCTTGAAGAGTAATGGATCCAATGCTACACTCACCCACCAATCACACTTGAATGGCAACTAGCTCCCAGTTTCTCATAGATTGAAAGAGCTGCCAGAGCTTTGCATTTCATTAATTTGTACATGTAATGTACTAGCTGATTCAAAAGAACAACCAAGTTGTGCACAACGATAACAACATCAAGCACTGCCCCTTTCTTTCAGTTAACAAAATATTAATTTCCACTCTGAATTTTCAAAATCAATCCAACTCTAGTTTTATCTATATGTACTCAATTCATTTGAGAGAGAGGGTGAGTGAGTGAGTAAATGGGCAGAACAGACTGAGAGTGGTTTTCACTCTCTCCCAACGGGTGTGGAATTTCAAGGCCATGTGGTAAGTAAACAATGACGTAGTACTTGTAATTAATGCTTCCGTGTACGTTTACACGAGTCGCTTGTGTAGCATGATTTGTGGCAATAAATTTGGTAGGTTACTGTGTAGTTGGGTTCACGTTAAGGCGACTTGTGGCTAACAGGGCGAGCCAGCTGTCTCATTAAGATTAGATAGGCCGGTCGGTAATGAGTTGACCGCTGTAGATTCCGTGACGACAGTCCAACAATATTGCCGGACATCTAGGCCCAATCAAGGAAGGACCATGCGTAGAGCATTAATCTGTATGCATTTTATTGACTGGCCCGGACCCAATTCAACCCAACAGTTTTTTTTCAAACCCAACAGTGTTCATAACGGCACTAGAGTTGGTTTGGTACAACTGATGGATGAAACCAAATCACAATTAATGATTAAACCATAAAAAAGGTTTGGCTTCCACCACCAACATGCTTGGAACAAGATCTAAAGAGCAATTTCCTGGGGAGATTTTAACGTCCCAAATACATCTACCCTTCAAGAAATTTGTCCTGACCCAAGTTGGCCAAATTGAAGAGTATTGAGGATCACATAATCTTCAAAGTCGCTTGGCCATGTTGGCTTTTTTCCAATTGACTAATGCCTTATTATCCAACCCACCTTCCAACAGTCACAACAGACCAAACTACTTTAGCACAACAAGAAATTTCAGATCAGAACCACTCCATAAGAATGACCTAAGCAACTGCAGTAATATTACTAATCGATAAAATGTTTCTTGAAGTTACTTGGACTCCAAAGATAACCATTCACCCAGAATTTTGTCTAAAAATTGACATAACAATCAAACAACCCACAAAAAGGGTCCACGAAAAATTGAGTTTGATGACTGGTCGATTTTGTTGAGAACCATTCACGAGAATTATATAATAAAGAAAAGTACAAGAATAAATATAATAGAGCTCAAAATACAAAAGTCAAAAGAGAATCAAGCTGTCTGCAAACAGCTGGAACGAGGAGCGGCAGCAGCAGCTCTCTCTAATGCCTTTAACCTGTTAGCTTCCATGCGAGCTCTCTGCTCTTCCGATATGTGACTTGGACTGGAGCTGCTAGCAGCTGCACTTTCTGGTGCTTGATTTGGTAATTCTTTCACTGTACTATTATCAGAAGATTCAGCAGCAAAAGTGACATCATGCATGGATGGATATGGCTCCTGCACAGGAATACTTATTATGCGCCATTCAAATGGAATTAGGCTCAAACAACAAATGGACAATTGGGATGAGGAGTCTGATTTCCAGGTTTGAGGTCAATGATAAGGAAGAAGAGATGAGAGGAAATCTTGTATCTTTGCAAGGACAATAGTGCAATTTTCTGTGTCCCTTAGCTGTTGGATAACATATTGTCCTTATATGCTAACTTAGGGGTGTTTATTGCTTCATTAGGGGGTTGTTTGCAAAACATAAATAGTTCAAGGGAGTTTTTCTGCATTTTACCCCTTAGTATACACAGTTAACTATATTCATATGCAAGAAATCACAATCCTTTACCTATGAGGGTGATGGTTTACTTAAAATAAAAAGAAACTTAACACTGTGAGTTGATAAATTGTGACTGTAAACATTACCATCCAATCCCGACAGTAGATGAACAGGAACTCTAGAAAACCCATATTGTTTTCCCTGAATAACTCTAGGAAACCCATCCATATATGACGGAAATTTACTTACTTCGGTAGCCTGCTTGTATATCTCTTGAAGCATGTCTTCTTGTAAATCATCAGTGTCATGGTTTTTCAAAGGCGCGCCCTTCTCTAAATCCAAAGTTTCTGCAGCAAGCAGAAAGACTTATATTAGCACTGCTGTATAAGGATCACTAAGAAAGTTGATGAATGTACTAGCAAAAATAAATAAATAAAATGAAGAATAATGAAATTAACATTCATCAATATTTTAAACCATGTCCCCACATCCAAGGTTTTGTCAGTAATACATCAACATTATTCAGGTGTTGATAAAACTCAACTCAATAAAGTCATCTTCCAACCATTCGGGTCAGTTATACTAATCATATTTTGCAATTCCTTCTGTATGTGAGGTCATATCTCAATTGAACTACACGGAATCATATCTTTCATTCTCAATTAGTGTTTGCTATTACAAATTTTATTTTCAAATAATGAAAATATTCCCTTTGTATCGGACATTCCTGGACACATTTTCAGAAATCCCAATGTCTTAAAAAGACATGATTCCTTAAAGAGAGTCCTTGCTTCTTAGGAGTGACTTCAAAATTAGAAACTTAAACAATTTAACCAATAATTCACAGTTGAGATACAAACAAAATAATATAACAAACAAATTTACTAAGAAAATAACAAACAGAAATGATGCGGGACAAGCACAAGGTAAAACTCCTTCCATGCTTGTTACCAAACTGACGTTGGACAGCTTAAGGGGACTTGGAATAAAACTTCCTGCGATTGATATTATGGGAGGCTTGTGTATGAAAAAAAAAAAAAAATGAAAGTTCAGGGATTTAACAGATCGAGTTTAAAAAAAAAAAAAAAAAAAGAGGAGTTGTTTTGTCTCAAAAGGTGATGGATCACAGAAATTTCAGGAAGTATTCTAAAATATCCTCACAACGAGTATTGAAAAGTTTTAGGTGTTAAACTAAGGGCCAAAAGGTAAGGAAAGGTTTAAGGTTGATTAGCGGGTTTTAATGATGAAATAAGGGCTTTCCTAGGGTAGGGTTTTGCTGATGACAGGGGCTGTTATGGGGATGTAGATGGTTAGCCAATAAGAGGTTTTGATGATGACAGAGGGGCTATTATGGAGGAGGAGGAAGCAAAAGGAGTTGAAAATTGAAAGGTTGACTCACAGATAAGTTATTGGGGTAAGAACTATTACTTAAAACAAAGGAAAATTAAACTTTAACTATTCTAGACTAACTAGGAGCCCAAAACTCCATATAGAAACCAAATAAATAACTTGACCTAAAATAAGAAACATGGACCTATAGCCCATGTCATAGATATATGAAGATTACCAGAGTACCCTTAACTCCTAAATCTGAACAAATTATACATTCAGAGTTTTTTTTTTAGTGGTTGCAATCAACCCTTAAAATACACCTAAATAGTTGATTCAAGCCCTTAGGCTTGTCGTCTTACTTGATTTGGAAAGAAAACCAAAACTTAGGTCCAAGCATGCTCCACGTGAAATTTTACATTGCCCCTTTTCTTGTTAACCTCTAATTCCTTCTGCCCCAAATTCAGAAAAAGTGCAACCTCACCATTTGTAATGTTGATGTAACGACCCACTCCACCACATGGTATGATATTGTCCGCTTTGGGCCTGAGTCCGCACGGTTTTGCTCTTGGGTTTAACCCCAAAAGAGCTCACAAATCCTACATATATAGCATTTCCATTGTGCACATGTAGCTCGCTCAGTGTGGTAGCATGCCAGTGCCTCTTGCACCCGCCCACGGGCAGGTGTTCTATGACACAATGCGTTCTAGTGGCCCGGTGGTGGGTTAGCTAGGAACAAAACCAGTGGTGGGTTCGACTCTTGGCAAGCGCTCAAAGAGGATAATATTACCTGGGATGGGTGGGCCATTGTGGGCCACGATTCGGTCATGCATCTTTGACATCAGACAACATGTTTTAAAGTTGTGATGTCAGTGATCCCATCAAAACTCCGCAGTTAAGCTTGCTTATGCTGTAGTACCAAGATGGGTGACCTCCTGAGAAGTCTGGTCCGAGCGAGCCAAAAGTGGACAATATTGTGTCGAGTAGGGTGATGATTGTTACAAATGGTATCAAAGCCTGATCCAACTGGAAATGTGACCAACGAGGACGTTGGGCCCCTGGGGGGGTGGGTGGGTTGATGCTGGCGACCTATGTGGGAGGGTGCAAGAGGCACTGGCAGGCTATCACACTGAGCGAGCTACAGGTGCACAATCCCACATCGCCTGGGTGTGGAAAGGAGAAGTGTTATATATGCAGGATTTGCACACTCCAATTGATATGAGGCCCTTTTGGGGTTAAACCCAAGAACAAAATCGTGCGGGCTCAGGACCCAAAGAGGATAATATCATACCATGTGGTGGAGTGGGCCGTTATAGTTGAATTATGAAAAACCATGAGCTTCAAATCTTGGAGCTAATTAAAGTTAACATCATCTTTTAGAATAAACAAGGTATGATTTCCGTTGGGTGTTCTCTGGCATTTATGGTCCTAATGAGGACAGTGATCATCATTTGCTTTGGGAGGAGTTGGGAGAGGTTCATAGGGGTTGGTCGCTGCCTTGGTGTATTGGCGGGGATTTTAATGTTGTTCGTTCTCCTTTTAAGCGATCGACGGGAGGTAGGTGGACAATCGATATGGAATCTTTTTCGGAGTTCATTGACGTTTTTAGATTGATTGATTTGCCTTTGGTGGGTGGGCCTTTCACTTGGTCCAGTGGTCGTTCTCCTCCTACCCTCTCTCGACTTGATAGATTCCTGGTGTCAAGCGATTGGGAGGAGCACTTTTCGGATGTTGTTCAGGGCACTTTGGCTCGCCCTTTATCTGACCATGTTCCATTGATGTTGGATTGTGGTGGGCTGCGTAGCAGAAGATCCCCTTTTCGATTTGAGAACATGTGGCTGCGGGCTGAGGGGTTTTTGGAGCGAGTTCGTTCTTGGTGGATGGGGTATTGTGTGGCAGGCACCCCTAGTCACTCTCTCGCAGGTAAGCTGCGGTTCTTGAAGAATGATCTTAAGGTTTGGAACAAAGAGGATTTCGGTAATCTAGTGTGGAGGAAGAATCGGGTTTTTGTTGAGATTGTTGATATGGGCACTTTGGCGAACTCTTTTAAAATTATGAAGGTAGAGTGTCAGGCAGAGTTTGCATCGATTGTTGTCTTGGAAAAAATCTCATGGAGGCAAAAGTCTAGAGCTTTGTGGCTCAAGGAAGGGGGCAATAATACGAAATTTTTTCATAGACTTGCCAACGCTCATAAAAGGAGCAACCATATTGGGAGGATTCGGGTGGATGGGGAGGTTTTTTGTAAGGAAAAGGAGATTTGTAAGGGTTTTACTGATTTCTTTTCTATGTTATTCCCCGAACCAAATGGTTGGAGACCTTTGTTGGATGGGCTTCATTTTGACTCTATTTCGAGTAAGGAATGTTCCATTCTGGAAGTGCCTTTCTCTGAAGAGGAAGTTGTGTCTACTTTAAAGAGCTGTAACGGGAATAAAGCCCCAAATCCTGATGAGATTTCAATGCGTTTCCTTTTGGAGTGCTGAGAGGTGGTCAAAGAAGATGTGATGGGTTCTTTTCACGCTTTCTATGCTCATGGCTCTTTTGAGAAGAGTTTGAATGCCACTTTCATTGCTCTCATTCCGAAAAAGGGAGGAGCGTTTGTTAAGGATTTTCATCCTATTTGCTTGGTGGGATGTTTTTACAAGTTAATTGCCAAAGTCTTGGCCTCGAGGCTAAGGAAGGTTCTGGATGGTGTCATCTCAGACTCTCAGAATGCTTTTGTGGGAGGTCGTTAGATTTTGGATTCAGTTCTTATTGCTAGTGAATGTGTGGATTCCAAGTTGAGCAGTGGGGTTCCAGGTGTTGTTTGCAAGCTGGACATTGAGAAGGCGTACGACCATGTGAGTTGGAGCTTTCTCATTTATTTGATGGAGAGTATGGGGTTCGGGAACCGGTGGAGGAGATGGATTCATTTTTATATCTCTAATGCTCGCTTCTCTATCCTTGTGAACGGAGCTCCAACGGGGTTTTTCTCTAGTTCGAGGAGCTTGAGACAGGGGGATCCACTGTCCCCTTTTCTTTTCCTTTTTGTGATGGAGGCACTCAACAGATTGTTGAAAAAGGCTGTTGAGCTTGGCTTTTTAAGAGGTTTTCGGGTGGGTAAAGATGTTGCTAGTCAATTGGAGATCTCTCACTTGATGTTTGCAGATGATACCTTAGTTCTTTGTGATGCCGATGCGTCCCAGCTGAGACATTTGTGATGTGTTTTAGTTTGGTTCCAAGTTGTCTCTGGGCTTAAGGTGAATGTCGGAAAGAGTGTTTTAGTGCCGGTTGGGGAGGTTCCTGGTATTGCGATGTTTGCTCAGATCCTTAGTTGTCACACTGGATCTTTCCCCATTTCTTACTTAGGTTTACCTTTGGGAGCCTCTTCGAGATGTATGGGGACCTGGGATCCGGTGGTAGATAGATTTGAGAAGAGGCTAGCGGGTTGGAAAAAACAGTACCTCTCCCAGTGGGGAAGGGTCACTCTGATTAAGAGTACCCTTTCTTACCTCCCACAACTTATTTCATCTCTCTTTCAGATTCCTTCGTCTGTGGCTGAGAGAATTGAGAGCTTGCACCGTAATTTTCTTTGGGGGGGAAGAGGAGAGGAGTTCAAGTATCATCTGGTTCGTTGGGAGCAAGTTTGTTGTCCTTTACGAAATGGAAGTCTAGGGATTAGAAGGTTGTTGCCTTTCAATAGGGCCCTTCTTGGGAAATAGCTTTGGAGATTTGGGATGGAGAGGCATTGGCTCTGGAAGAGAGTTATTGCTAGCAAATTTGGGGAAAGTAGTGGAGGGTGGAGCTCCCTTGAGGTGCGTGGTCCTAGGGGGGTGAGGGATGTGCAGTTTAGGAGACACTTTCAGGATTGGGAGATTAAGGAGGTCACTCGTTTTTTGGAGTTACTATATCGTCAGGTGATTTCTCATGGGGATTCTGATTGTTGGATTTGGAGTCCTAATTCTCAGAGCAGGTTCGAGGTGAGGTCCTTTTTTAGGTGCCTTTCTGTTGGTGATGGAGGTCCTTTTTCCGTGGAAGTCTA